TTTTTTTTAAAACGCTTCAATTAATTATTTTGATTAATTCAGCTTTCATACTCCATCAGACTTTAAATATAGTGGTTGTATTGTATTTAATATTTTATTTAAATTTGTTTTCTATTAAGATGATTTTAATCTTTTTGACAATTTCGATTAAAATCAAGTTGATATCCTTAAAAAAGATAATAGTCTTATTTTGTGGATCTTATTAAAATCTATGGAACTTGATTCTAAAACTAAATAATTCTTCAGACCTATAGCAAATGATAATAATTAGAAAAAGTTAACTAAAGCTTATACCCCAAAAATCAATTAAAAAGAAGGTTCAAGCAGTATTTTTAGTCTTCAAGTATTAAAAAATAGTTAAAATGCTCTTCCTAGTATATAAAATAATAAATAAACTGATAGCAAATTTGATGAAGAGTCAGAAATTTAAAGTGGAGAGAGTAATGAAGATGAATATGATTAATGTATTTTTAAAAATTTAATACACCATTTTATTTTTAAAAGAAAATATTTTATAATTTTAAATTTATTTTTTTTATTTATGAGAAAATAAAAAAAAAAGAGTTTAAATTTTTAAGAAGAAATTGAGAAAATTAAGAGATTACATTTAAAATAAAATGGAGAAATACAAATGCCTTAAGAAAAGTTTAATAAATTATTAGAAAAATTGTAATATGATATTATTAAAGAAATAAGAAAAAATAGAAAACTATAAGATAATGATAAAGAAACGTATATATATTATTTAAAATAATATATATATACAAAACATATAAATTTTAAAATAATATTAATTAATTAGATTAGCAAATTATTATATCAATTAAAAATTATAAGAATTTAATTTAGAAATAAAATAAAATTAAAGCTTAGAAGATTAAGATAACCCGAAAAGCAATAAAAAATACTTAGAAAGATAATAGGTTTAGCTATCACTAGGTTAATTAAAAAATATTCTTGAAAATTTTGAAAAAGATGTATATAGAAAAATAGATTTTAAAAATAACAATAGATAATTTGATCCTATAAAACAAGAGGTTTAAATGGAAGAATATATGTAAAATTATAATTCATTTGTTTCTTTACTTTACTATTATTATAACTATGATATTCAAACATATAAAAAGTTAATAGATGAATACAATCATAGATATCATAATATGATATTTTCAAAACTAGGATTAGGTTTGTAAACTTAAGAAAATCCTCTAAAACAGTCATAAGAAGAATATCTTATATAAACAAAAAAATAATCGATATAATAATAAAAAGAAAGTATAAGTAGTTTATCAAATAGTATTTTCTCTGTGAAACAATAAAAAAAAAACAGTAAAGATAATACTGCAGAAAATCAAGTAAATATAATAATAGAAAATCAAGAAAAATAAATAATTTCGAAAAGATATAATAAAATAATTACTCTAAATGATTATACAAAACTTAAAGCCGCAAACCTTCTTACGGATAAGTTTTTGGATTTTTTCATTCGTTTTTTGGAAGAAAAGTAGACATATAATATGTATATCCATAGTATTAATAATAAAGAATACCCAAAAGGTATTAAAATATTTTACTTAACAACTAGTTTTTATAAGAATTTTACATAAAATAATCCTTTGAATACTAAAGATTTAAATTTTGAAGTTTGGAGGCATTATACTAAATTTTATACAGGAGCTAATAAAACCATTTTTGATAAATTTGATTAAATTATCTTACCAGTAGTCCTTTATCCTTTCGAAGTGCATTTTTTGCTTGTTGATTTTCATAAAAAGGTTTTTTTTTATTTATAACGTCTCTTTTTTCAACTTATCCAGAAAATCCAAATGAGAATCCGATTATACTTAATATGGAAAAGGCTATTTAAAAAGAATATTAAGAAAAATACATGAAGAGCTTCAAATTTATTGGTTGGGGTTATAAATATTAAACTATTGATCACAATTTAATGTAAAAAAAATAATTTTCTGCACATTATTCTGCATATTTGATTTATAATTTATCAAGAAACAAATATAAATTAAATATAGAATAATCTGAATTTAATTTATTTACTTAAAAACTACTTTAATTGGCTGTTTCTATTGGAATTACATAAAATAAAAAAAATGAAATTATTATTGATAATATGCCTTTATGATTTTTTTTTTATTTATTTATTATATTGTATACTTTTTTATTATTTTATTTTTAGATATTTTTATTTATTTGTATTTTTTTTTTTATTTATATTGTTTTTATAAATTTTAATTTAAAATATTCAATATATTAATATAGGCTTATTTTTGCTTTTATTTTAACAATTTATAATTTCTTTGTTAGTATTAATTTTATTATTTTAATTATTTAATTTACATTAATTTAAATATAATAAGTAGAAAAAATAAAAACACTAAAATAATATTTTATAAAAGATATATCAAAACTGATATGAATAATAATATATTTAAAAAATATTTTTTATAAAATGCAAAAACAAAAATTAATAATATATTGCATTTGCCATATAAATATTCCTGTTTCGAGCGTTAATATATACAAATTAAAAAAAATTCAATAAATAATTTAATATTACTTATTTAATATATTTAGAAGTAATTACTTTTTTTTTATATATGTTTTCATTAAATGCAGTATAAATTATATGGATTTTTAAATAGACACAATATAAAATACGCTAATAATATATATAATAAATTTATGTAATATAATAAATGTTATTATTAAAAAAAAATTTATTAATATTAAATGTTTTGAAATATATATTAATTAAAAAAAATGATTTCTTTAAAAAAAAATACGAAATAAAAATTAATTAAAATATATTAAAATTTAAAATATAAATTAAAATAAATAATGTATAAATTTCAAAATAAAATAAATAAAATATAATGGAAAATTAAAATAAATTTAAATAATTTTTTTATTTTTTAATTTTTATTTAATTTATTATAATAAAAAAATATAATATATATAAATAAAATATATATTAGTAAATAGACAAACATATAAAATAATTTATTTAGTTGAAATTTAATTTTTATAGAAAATTTTAAATTATTATTATTTTTAAAATAAAATCATAATTATTATAATATATGTAATAAATTTATATATTATTAGATTTTTTAAATAAGATATTAAATAATTATTTTTAAATAAGATTTATTATTATTTCAATAAAATAATTTTTTATTAAAAATATATATTTAAAGTTTTCATAATTTTCTTTTTTCAATTTTTATTCTTAAATATTTTTTATATTATGAACTAAATTATACATTTTTTATTTTTAAAATCTTATTTTATGTAAAAAATATTTTATAATAAAAAAAAACTTTATAAAATTAATATTAAAATCATAATTAATTAGTATTATTTAATTTTTTAAAAAGATATTAAATAATTATTTTTAAATAAAATTTATAATATATTTCTATTAAATATTTTTATATTTAATATATATAATTTATGTGTGTTTTTTTTAATAATTATTCTTAAATATTTTATATGTTACAAACTAAATATTTCATTTAATTTTTAAAATTCTTATTTACATTATTTTATTCAAAAAATATTATAAATAAAATAAAAAAAACTTATATAAATTAATTATATATAATTAATTGTATTATAATTTCTAATATGTATAAATATAATTATTATTTACTAAATATATTAATTATTTAAAATATAATTATTGTTTTTATATAAAATTACATATTTAATATGAGGATTTTTTTATTCTATCATGTTTTAACCTTGTAAAAAAATTATATTGACAATATATTTTTATTTTTTAATTTATTTATGATATTTATTAAAATATTAAAAAATAATTTTTAATTATTAATATTTTAATTTTGAAATAGATATATAAAAAAAAATATTAATAAAAATATGTAAGATATCCATATATTAACATATATAATATTTTTTTTATAATTTAAAATTATTAAATATATAAAAAATAAAATATTTAATAATTATATAAAAATTGTAATATTTTGAACCTTAAATTTAATTTTATATCTAATAATTAATATATATATATAAAATTAATTATATAAAATATTATCATTATTAATTTTCATTTTTATTTATAAAAAGTAAATATTGAATTATTATTTAAAATGATTAAAATATAAGCTTTTATAATAATATTTTTAACTTTAATAATTTAAATTTAAAATTAAAAAATAATATAAAGATGTTTATCTACTGATTTTTTAAAAATTGATGTGGATAATTGTGATTTTAAAATTAAAGGAAATATTAGTAAAAATTATGTTTATAAATGTGATATATATACTATTTTAGGAGGTTATGCAGTATGCGAATCAAATTGTATTATAAGGAATAGTTTTAAATCAACTAATCCTGTATATAGTTATACAATCTAATTTAATTATATTTTGATTGATTAGTGGAATATTAATTAATATCTTCTTGTTGAAATAAATGGAAAAGAAGCAAAACGATTATATAAAGCTGCTGCATCATCTAATTTATGTGGGTCATTATAGAATGAAGAATTAGAATTTGCAGATTTTAATTATTCAACTAATGAATAAGCTATCGATATTACAATAAGTAATAACTTGGATTAATGGCCTGATAGTCAGTCTTTTGGTATAAGGAAATTTGTAATTTATGGTAATGAATGTAAGGCTGGATGTTTAGAATGCACTGACGGTGTTTCTTGTAGTAAATGCTTAGTAGACTAGTATATAGAAGCAGGTAGTTGTGTTAATTGTATTGCAGATTGCAAAGAATGTACAAAAAAAAATTCATGTGATTTATGCTAAAGTGGATTTTTTTATAATAATTTTTAATGTGTTTCGGTTTGTCCAAATGATAAATATGTAGATAATGCGACTAGAACTTGTAATGATTGCTTAGCTAAATGCAAAACTTGTTCTAATGCAACTGATTGTGACACTTGCTTTTTAAGAATAGAGTTGCACCTGATTGTGGATGTCCTATTAATAATTATGATGACTCTAATTACTCTTAAGCTTGTATTTCATGTTTTGATATATCTGCTGGATGTTCTACTTGTGATAAAGATAATTGCTAAGCATGTTTACCGACTCATTTTTTAGACGGAAATTCATGTGTAATAAACTGTCCTGTAGGTAAATGGGGAAATGCGGTAACCAGATAATGTACAGATTGCTTAGCTAAATGTGTAACTTGCTCTAATAACAATACTTGTGACACTTGCTTTTCGAATAGAGTACCTTAATAATGTAATTGTCCTTAATATTCATATGATCCTAATGTTTTCAATTAAGCTTGCACTTTGTGTTC